AGCACACTGTGAGGAAAGCTGTTTCAAGGGCTACAATACGGGTTGTCTAAGGCTTGCGAAAACGGGATGCTATAAGGGGGTCACTGCTTAACTGATGGATGCGAATACCAAACCCACTACCCTAAACCCACAAGACCCCAAAACTTTTCAGTGGGCCGCCCTCCAGAAGGCACAAGCACAAGCCAGATGCTACTCGTTAGGGTACGATATTAGGGTCCCCAATTTTCGGAAACCCCCATGTCATTCTCGACCCCAGGCAGGCCATTTACAGTATAATATAGGGGCCTAAATAACTACCTATAGAAATTCGGGGCTCCTTATTAGAATTATGGTAGAATAGACCCCAAAACCCTATTCTAATCATTAAGGCCCCCAATATAGAACCCTATCATAGATCCCTTATAGAACCCTTTAAGGATCCCTTTAAAGGAGCCCTATTCTAATTGCTCTAAGGCCCCTACATGCAGCCCTAAATCCTAAAGCCTAAACCCTAAGGGTTTCGCCAAATATAAGGCTACATTTTTTGGAGAACCCTGAACCCGGGAAGATGTTGTTCTGAAAGCCATCTGGGGTTTAGGGTTTAGGGTTTAGGGCTTTGTGAATTTCGGGTGGCTTGGAGATGGAGGTTACATGGGCCAAGATCAGTAAACCTGCAAGCTCCAAAATCAAAATGAAAGCTTCCCCCCTAAACCCTAAACCCTAAACCCCCAATTCTAAATTCCGAAGCCCTAAACCCCTACGGGCCCCCAAACCCCTACACCTCTAAACCCAAACAGACCCTGAACTCGACAGGTAGCGGATTTTTCCGACTCTGACGAGTCCGGCACAGCAAGGACCCTAAACCCCTTAGGGTTTAGGGTTTAGGGTTTAGGGTTTAGGGTTATTACCCTAAACGATGAATTCGGGTTTGGGGTTTCGGGAATAGGGCTTAGGGGTTTAGGGGTTTAGGGGTTTCGGGAATAGCGTTTAGGGTGTCGGGTTTAGGGTGTAGGCTTCGGGGCTTAGGGTTCGCGGTTTGCAGTTAGGGCCTTGGCGCTTCGGGCTTAAGGAGTTCCTTTAATGGTTCCTCAAATGGCCGCTGGGAAAGGCACTGGGCGACTATATCACGGTTAGCTCTGAAGCTGGGCTTATGGGGCTTATGGGGTTTATGGGGTTTAGGGTTATATGGTTTAGGGTTTAGGGGTTTAGGGTTTAGGGTTTAGGGTTTAGGGTTTAGGGTTTAGGCTCCAGGTCTAGAATCAGAAAATAAGGGTAAGCTCCTTCCTGCAAGGCTTGGAAAAATCCCCGATACGCCCGAGCAGACTCCCAAACGCTTAGAACGATGCCTCGAACTTCAGATTGCTTGGAGTCACTGGAAACCATCAAAATCATCATTTCTTGGTTTAGCGTTTAGGGGTTCAGGGTTTAGGAGAATCACATCCCTTTTAGTAGCCCTTGTAGGAACCTGTAATGCAGCCCTATACCTAAAACGCGTCCCCAGACCTTCCAACATCCCTGAATGAAGGAATATATACCGTAAATTATCATTGAACCCTGATACGATTTAAAGTAAATTGCTTAATTGAAGACCCTAAACCCTAAATCCCTACAGATCTCTTGTGGAACCCTTTAAGGACTTAATTCAGGGCTAATATTGGAAGGCCCGTACCCTAAACCCTAAACCCTAAACCCTAAACCCTAAACCCTAAACCCTAAACCCTAAACCCTAAACCCTAAACCCTAAACCCTAAACCCTAAACCACCAATGCAACCGAAATCGCAGAGCCCTGCGGCTGCATCGCCCTTGGAAGGCGACGCGTGGTCCTCTCAGGGTTTAGGCTTTGGAGTTTCGGGGTCTGCAGGGTTCAGGTTTAGGCTTTAGGGTTTAGGGTTTAGGCTTTAGGCTGTAGGCTTTAGGGTTTAGGCTGTAGGGTTTAGGGTCTAGGGTCTAGGGTTTAGGGTTTAGGCTTTGGAGTTTCGGGATCTGCAGGGTTCAGGTTTAGGCTTTAGGGTTTAGGTTTAGGTTTAGGGTTTAGGGTTTAGGGTTTAGGGTTTAGGCTTTGGAGTTTCGGGGTCTAGAGGGTTCAGGTTGAGGCTTTAGGCTTTAGGCTTTAGGCTTTAGGCTGTAGGCTTTAGGGTTTAGGGTTTAGGGTTTAGGGTTTAGGGTCTAGGGTTTAGGGTTTAGGCTTTGGAATTTCGGGATCTGCAGGGTTCAGGTTTAGGCTTTGGGGTTTGAGGTCCAGGGCTTAGGATTCAGGGCTTGGGGCTCATAGGGTTTAGGATTTGGGTTTTAGGGTTTAGGGTTTAGGGTTAAGGGCTTACCTGTAACCGAAAAGACCTACCTTCTTAGGGTTCCTTAATATGGTTCTATATATAGTTCCTTGAAAAGGTAGGTCTTCTCGATGACCTTTTAGGATCCTTAATATGAAAATTTGTTAAATCAACAAAAGGAACTACAATGGAGACTGTAGGTAGGGTTTAGGGTTTGGGGAGTTTAGGGCTCGCCTGGACGGTGATCCGG